GTGGAGCTTGGCGTAGTCCATAGAGAGCTTTCCTCAACTTGAGTACCTTTTTCTCATTTCTTACTTCAACAAAGCCAGGGGGTTGAGAGACGTATACCTCCTCGATAAGATCACCGTTGAGGAAGGCTGATTTGACGTCCATATGATGTACCTCCCATCCTCTTTGCGCCGCTAAAGCCAAGATTAACTTCACGGTTTCAAGCCTCGCCACCGGTGCAAAGACTTCATTAAAGTCCACCCCTTGGCGCTGAACATATCCCTTCGCGACGAGCCGGGCCTTGTGTTTAACTACCACTCCTCTTGAGTCCTTCTTCACCTTGTAAACTCATCTAAGTCCGATAGGTTTGTGTCCAGCTGGTAGGTGTACTAACTCCCAGGTGTTGTTGCTAACAATGGACTCAAGCTCTTCCCTCATCGCAAGCCTCCAACACTCATGTTGCTCGGCTTCAATATGACTTGCAGGCTCCTCTGCAGTCATTAAGAGTATATCTTCATCTTCCTCTTCTTGTTGGTAGATATCTTTAAGAGAACGATACTTCCGTGGCACCATGGATGAGGAGGTAGGAGTTTCTGGAGAAAAACCACCCGAAAGTACAGTCGGGGAGGTCAGCAGCGGCTCAGAGATAGGCTCGATTGGGGGCTCTCTGTTGGGAACCCCTGTAGGCATCGCTGCTGCAGTTACAGAGCCGGTTGATGCTGCAGTTTCAGAGCTCGCTGCTGCAGTTTCAGAGTTCGCTGCTGCAGTTTAAGAGCCGGTTGCTGCTGCAGTTTCAGAGCCGGTCGCTGCTGCAGTTTCTGGGGCTCTTTCGGGGGCTCCGTCTTCATCGTAACCAAGCACAATGAATGATCCCACGGGCCGTGAATCTCTCTCCTCCTCGTTGTGCTTGCGTGGTGTTTGCTCCCAACACCATGCTTTGTCCTCCTCGAATCGTACGTCGCGACTAACATGCAACTTCTTGTGTACCGGATCATACAACCGGTAAGCTTTGGACCCATCTTCGTAGCCGAGAAACACCATAGGATTGTTGCGATCTTCCAGCTTCTTCAGGTGAGGTTGCATGTTTTTCATATGTGCAACGCATTCGAAGACACAAAGGTAGTGGACCTTCGGCTTCCGCCCACACCAAGCTTCATATGGTGTCATCCATTCGAGACTCTTCGTTGGTGCACGGTTGAGGATATGGACAGCCGTATTCACCGCTTCTCCCCAAAAGAACGAGGGCATATTCTTGCTCTTCAACAAGCTCCTTGCCATCTCAATGATAGTCTGATTCCTCCGCTCCACAACACCATTTTGTTGCGGCGAATATGGTGCTGTGAATTGCCTTTTGATGCCCAGTCCTTCACAATAACTGGAGAAGTCCTTTGAGGTGAACTCCCCTCCTCGATCCGTCCGCAACATTTTCAACCTTAGGTCAACCTCCATCTCCGCTAGTGATTTGATCTTCTTAAATGCATTAAAATCCTCATCCTTTCTTTTGATAAGACTGATCCACATGTAACGACTGAAATCATCTACGCATAGCAGAAAATATTGGTTACCTCTCGGTGTCGCCGGTGTGATTGGTCCACAGAGATCGGCGTAAATAAGTTGAAGGGGATTCTCTGCACGATACGTCGAGGAGGATGGAAATGGCGTGCGATGTTGCTTTCCAATCAAGCACCCATCACACAGTTGATCTTGTTGCCCCAAGACCGGCATGCCTTCAACCATCTTCTTGTGCGCTAAGCCCTTAGCGTCGGAAAGTTCAAGTGACCGTAGCGTGCATGCCATAGCCACGACTTCTCCTTGAGGTTCACCATCAAGCACACGGGTTGGGCAAGGCTAAGATCAAGAACGTACAACCTGTTTCGACTCCGCTTCACATTAGCCAATAGCCTCCCTGTGTTGTCGAAGATCTTGAGAGAGCCATCCTTTATTGTGCTTGCACATCCGTGTTCATCAAGTTGTCCAATGGACACGATGTTGCTTCGGAGCTTCGGGATATAATAGACATTGGACAACGTAAGATGTTGCCCATTTTGACATTGGAACAAGATAGTTCCACGCCCACAAATATTGACGACGGATTCATCACCAAACTTTACGTTCCCCTTGACGCTTTCATCTAGGTCGGAGAACTTCTCCTTGCAACCCGTCATATGATTGCTAGCCCCGGTATCGAGGTACCACGCCTCAACTTCATGAAGGTTTGGCATCACCTTCTCCTCGTTGAGCATCAATACATCCTCACACTCCTCCGAATGTCCGAGTTCACACAACTCGGCTTTGAGAAGAGCTGGCGCATCATCATCCCGCTTCGCAAAGTGGGCTTTGTCTCCGGTCTTCTCGGAACGGCACTCGTTTGCAAAGTGCCCGAACTTGCTACACTTGTAACATTGGAGTTTGCTTTTGTCCCGAGTCTTCTCTTGATGAGTTGGTCCATGACCACGCCCATCATTGGGACTATAGCCACGGCCACGGCCTCGCCCACGAAAATGACGCCCACCACCTCTTCCCTTTGAGGAGCTTGATGTGGTATCATATTTTGCCTTCCATTCGGATTCCGTCAGTAGAACCCGCTCCTCCACCTTCTCATTGGTGGGTCTTTGACGGCTAGAGAGCCGTTCTTCGTGGGCTTTCAGAGACCCAATGACCTCCTCCAAGGTCATGGTCTTCAAGTCCCCGAATTGTTCCATCGTAGACACGATTTGCAGGAATTTTTCGGGAACCGCACGGAGAAGCTTCCGGAAGACATAGGTATCTTCGACCTTGTCTCCCAATGCACGATCCTATTGACGTTGGTTGTCAACTTCATAGAAAAGTCATCGACCGTCTCCGCATCTCCCATGCGAAGACATTCAAACTCCCATCGCAGGGTTTGAATTTTTGCTTCTCGGACGCGCTCCGCGCCCATGTGCATTGTCTTTAGCATCTCCCATGCTTCTTTGGCCGTTTTCTTCTCTGAGATCAGCATTAGCGTCTCCTCGCTGATACTTTGATAGATGGCGGCTAACGCCATCGAATCCTTCTTGCTATCCACCGCCTCATCTTGATCTTTTGGTTCGATCACATCCCAAACTCCATTCACGCCCATGAAAACCCGCATCTTCAATGCCCACGACGAGTAGTTATCCTTCATCAACAAAGGATAATGGATGGTCATCGACCCAACCTTCATCGAGAACTTCGACGTCGCCGTGTCAAACATTGCTGAGGATGCAGAAGACATTTCTTTTGGCTGAGGAATTTAGGTGTGGCTCTGATACCAAATGAAGAAAACAAATTTTCATTACCACAATAGACTATATTTATAGCCAAAACTTAATTACAAAGTATCTCTTGGTATCCCCTACTAATAGGTAACCTCTACACGTTACAAGGAAATTATTGGTATTCCTTACTAATAGGAAACCTCCTAATTAATTTACACCATTAATTACACAATGCAAACAAGATTAATTCCAACAGCCTCCACATAGACTGTACATGAGGTCGCGACATGTAAAATCGCCTTGAGACATGACTACCACATTTACTGCGGCTGACATTCTCTCGATTCCAACACGTGATTTGTCCCTTCAAAATTGCATGTATCATAAATTTCTATACATCTAAGCTGTTCATGTTTTAACAAATAAGTTGCACATAGTTAATTAGGAGACAGAGAGCAGAGGACATCACGTGAAGTTATCCTCAGTCCCTATTGAAATTTGGTTGACACGTGTGTGTGATGAAGACTGATGGGAATCATATCCACCACCAATCATGCAGAATATACTAAAGATTACACACAATCTACAATATTAGGACCATCAACTCACTAATCTCTACTCTAATCTTAAGTTCCTAGAACGTTTAGGAATCAATACCTAATAAGAGACCAATTTTACTTGTAGCATCTTTTGTTGTTAAGCAATTTCTAGTATCAAGATAACTTATATTAGTGACTATTTATGGCAGACTAAGTTCATTAATATAAGAGAATTCATGTGATCATACAATGTATAGTAAATCTTGAGATAGTATTCAACATAGGTTAGGCTTTTTTTCTTTGACGAAAGCAAACTTTCACTAAAATAAATAGTTTAATGACTATAAAAATTCTCTATGGCACTAATTGCTAGCTTTACAAAGCTATACGCTATGTTAGTGAACAGTTAGGCAAGAATAATCATAAGTCAAAAGTCGTTAGGCGCGTCTATTGCTTGTACATACCTTACTTAACCTTAAACAAAAACTAAAATAAACTTACCGATGCCATAGCCAAGGTGCAAGGGCATTCTAAGAGTGGAAAGCAAGTAAAAAAGTCATGCATGCACCACTTTACTTAATACAATATTTATACGTTAATGCAAGCGCGCGTATAAGAATCTTTGTCGTAAAGAAGCATTTCTCTTCATGTATATGAAAATAGAAGCATCTAATTAGCTTACTAAGATAAGCGCAATATACAACGATGGAGGTTATGAACGATCAACATCTGTTCATTTTCCAATATATTATAGCGCGAAAATTCTCCATGTCTATTTCATCCACAAGCAACTTCGCTAAATTCCCCGACAATAGGATAAATTTAGTCTTATCATCATTATTCTCTCAAAGAAAAGGCTTGAGATTGTGAAAAGATATATAATCCATGTGGCTGCTATCGTAGTTCGCTTGTTGTAAGCGATGCTCACAAAGCCATTGAATTAACACAAGTAATTCAATGACTAAAAGATGTTAAAGTTTCACTTAGAAGCTACCCACGATACCTTTTTTTTTTACCAAATTAAAGTTAACCACAACATTATCCTATAATTTTCATCTAAAGATTCCATCACAGTAGTTCATCCAATCCAGCGAGCCGCCTCTTAAAGGGCACCATGTGTCCGGCACCGGACGACCATGTAGAATCTTTGTGACGTAGGACCCACATCATGGTGGCAAAATTGTAATTTTTATATTTCAAATTTACCCTCACTTCCATCTATATATACCCTCAAATCACCTAATCTTTGCAATCCACTCAATACCACTAGCTAAGCATATTCTAATAGAAGAGTTCAAGAGACGAGCAAAAACATCGACAAGATGTCCGGAGTTTGGGTGTTCAAGAACGGCGTGGTGAGACTCGTAGAGAATCCAGCAAATGAGCAATCTTCGACTGCTCGTCGCAAGGTTTTACTTCACACGCCTACCAATGAAATTATTTCCTCTTATTCTTCCCTCGAGCGAAAGCTCATGGGACTAGGATGGGAGCGGTACTACGACGATCCTGATCTGATTCAATTCCACAAGCGCTCTTCTGTTGACCTAATTTCGCTCCCTAAGGACTTTCGACACTTTAAGTCCATGCATATGTATGATATCGTGGTCAAGAATCGTGATTCATTTAGAGTCATCGATGAGAGGGCATGAAGGAAAAGAAGAAGAAGAAGAAGAAGAGATTGGTTGGCATCAATTCTGTTTTCTTAGCTTTTTTTTTTGGTACTAATAGGAGTGTTTCTTGTCATGTAGCTTGTTGAGGAGTTTGTTGTATTTCGTTCGACCATACTTGTATTTGTTTGTGATTACATTGCGCGCATCTGGTTGTGATATGTCGTTATATGTGTATAATGAGAGAGAGGGATTGCATGTGTGCTTAATTGTTTGTATCTAGCTATTCATTAATCAATTTGCTTGAAAGTTGTAATTAAGTCTTATGGCGTGAGAGAGGGGGAGGGTGGGCAGGGGCCAATGAGAGAGAGGAAATTGACTAAAAAGATATGGAGGATTGAAAGGTGACATGACAGAGAATGGGTCACGTGAAGTGATCCCTTCCTGCGTCGTTGGAAGGTGACACGTGGACAGTGGTGGGGGAACGGCGAATCCATACCCCACTAGCTTTGAGTTAATTTGGGGTACAATTAATGCATTGGTATAGAGAGTCATGCACTATATATATCTTTGTCCTTGTACACTCTGCAGATAGGGAGAGTGGGGGGAGCGAGAATAGTAGCCGATCAAAGGAGTTGGCGGGAGCATCACGGCACCTTGGTTAACAGGTCGAACGGAGAATATATTTATCTCCACAATATCAAAGGATAGATTGAGAATAGCTTGTCCCCAAGACCTCAGTGAATACATGTTTAACGCCATTACATGTTAATTCACACATATTTTTTTGCCACGTGTTAGAAAGAGAGAGAAAGAAGGATTTAGATAGATTCAGGAAACCGCCTTTTAAGTTTGGAAGATTTTATTTTTCAGACAACCCCTCTGAGCTATAAATATGCCACTCATGACTTTAATTAGGGTGTTGTTAAAAATCCTCGATCGTTTTCAGTTTTTAGCTAACTCCACTCCCACCCAGCGATCGACGTGAAATGAACCAGTAAAAGGATCAAAATATTATTTTCAAATTAACATTCTAAATTATTAAGTTAACTAATCATGAATATTTTCTGCTACAATTGTACCAAACTTAATTAAAGAGGGTTTCGTGAAATATGTAAAAGAGCATGAGAGGGGTTTTGCCATCAAGATATTTCGATCATTTGGACGCACTAGCTTGATTTTCTCGCGCGCATGTTGGGATCTAATACCGTTAGTTGGAGAGTTGTTTGACAAAATTTAAAGGGCTTAAGTGACATTTATAAAGCTTAGTGGATTATCTCAAAAAGCGGCAGAAAGTAAATGATTTTCTTTTGAAATCTATCCTTTTCCCCTCTTCGTATTACTATTGTCGTGAAGATGATAGTAGCAGCAGCAGTAGTAGTAGTAGAGAGAGAGACGGGTTGTTGAATTTGTAGTAGCTCCTGTCTAAATTAATGTTTAAAAGGCAGTCAAGGTTTCCGATGATATGGATGCAACAAGTTGAATTGACTGGTGATGGGACAAGGAGCAAGTGAGCAATAGCCAAAATGCATGTTAATCTCACGCAGGTGTTGCCCGTACAAAATTTAGGCTGGTCA